ACGCAATTATGAATGTAAGCCAAAAATTCCTGCTCAAGAGGGAGAAAAAGAACACACTGACTTATATTCCCAATTTGTTCTCTTTCAATTCCTGCAGCAAATCTATTAGCTAACTGCACAACACTCCACTTCCATTTGCCCCATGTCAATGCAGCCAAAAGACAAACAAAGAAAAACCAACCCAACAGCCTGTTATACAAATGCAGCCAAAGGATGACTTCTCAGCTCACAGGCCAGAACCCCCACTGAAGGCAAAAGAGGATGCAGAGCTCCCTCTGAGGTTAAAGTGATTTCACTGAGGTTAGCACACACACGCACCAAGAGCCCCAAACAGCTTGTTGCTTAATCCCTCTGTGGGTTTTGGTGACATCTGGGGTCACTTGAACTTGGTAGGGAATTCAGCTGTTCAGAGGTACAAATTAGGAATCCCGGTGGCTAGGGCCACGTGGGATTCACAGTGCGCCCTACCCACAGGCCCAAAGGTCGCTCACATTACCCCGCCTTCCTTTCTGGCAGGGCCTCAGTTATCCTGAGATGACACACGATGGCAGGGGCTGAAAGACGCCTAGCCTGACTGTGCGCCCAGCATCTGAAAACAGCTGTACCAATTACAAGGGACTGTTGCTGGAAACCAGGGTAACCACTCAAATATAGGGATTTGTGCCAGACTTTATTAAAAAATATTTTTTGTTTGTTTTTAAAGTCCCTAACAAACTCACTGACACCACCCAGCGTCCCTGGGGACTACCCACAACCAGAGAGGGCAGCCCAGCGTGTGCGACAGGGAGGCATCAAGGAGCGCGCCTGGGTCTAGCGCCTTGGCCTCCACGCTGTTCTCACTGCCAAAGACCGCGATACCCTAGGTCAAGGGCAAGAGCCCTGGCCCTGGAGCGGGGTGTGTATGCCCGACAATTGGATTTCCTGAAATTATGCCGCCACCACCCCACCCTGACCCAGACCCGCCCTGACGTCCCTCGAGCCTACGAAAGTGGGTTAGGACGCGGGAAGAAACCTCCTTACTGAAAGGAGATGCCCCTTTTCAGCGCCGGGGACTCCCCGCGCCCCGACTCTATGAGCCTCCAGTGACTGTGGCGCTTCCTCTGAACGTGCGGCACTTCTGCTCCCACCCATCCAGCACCCCTGCGCCGGGAAGAAACCCACCTCCCAGGGCGCACGCCGAAGGGCGATCCGAGCCGCTCGCCTTCACCCCACTTCACCCCACCCTCACGCCCTCCTGAACCTGGACCCCGCAGCGAGCTCCCGCTTGATCTTTGCAGAAGACCCCTGCAGCGGTGTCCTTGACCCACCTGTAGCCTAGAAGCCTTTCCCCTGCTTCCTTCCTAGGAGCCCCTGAGCCTGCAAAGCCCACGACCCCCAACAGACGGCTCTGGGGTGACTCTCCCCACAGAGAGTCACAGATGATTTTTTTTTTTTCCCCAAAAAGTTGGCCCAAGAATGCTGTGTCCCATGGATCCGGCCCCGATCCCATCCAAACACCCGCCAGAGGTGCAGGAGGCGTGAGGGCGGAAGGAGGGGCCCTCTGGCAACCCTGGCGCCTGGAAAACACGCCCCAGCTCCCGCAACCTGCAGGGAGGCGCCATGCAGGGCTCCCTGGGTCCGCCGGGGTCCGGGTCCGTAGGGTCAAATGGAGGGGCCTGCGCCTACACCCCAAGTCATGCCGCGCTCCCACCTACCGTTCCGAACTAGCTGAGAAGAAGGCGCGGGTGCGGGCTCCCTGAGACAGCGTGTTCCGTCCCGGGAGGAAAGTTTGTGCCATGCAGAGGAGGCAGCGCAGGGAGGGCGTGGGCGCCAGTGGGTGGAGGAGGCGGGGCGGGGGACCGGCGGCGAGGCGTGCTTGTGTGTCCGTCCCTCCCGCGATCCGTTCGTCCGTCCCTCCGCGGAACTCGCGGCCGCCGCGCTCCCGCTCGCTGCACCCTGCGCCCAGCGCGCTCCGGCTCCAGTCCCAACGCGCCCCCGCCGCCGCCGCCGCCGCGCGTCCGCCGGCTACACTTCCTCTTCCTCTGAACTCATGTGCAAAATATGCTGTGCTGCATCTTCTGGGGGAAGCCGCGCGGCCCCTGACAGCCGCCACGGGAGCAGCGGGCCCGCCCCGCACCCCCTCCGCCCTCCGCGCTCCGCGCCGCTGTCTCCACGCGACTGGCAACCTGCGTGCGGCACACGCTGCCGACCAGCCACCAGTGACCCCCAGTGCCTCTCTACGCAGAGGTCCGAAGCTCACGCACTCACCCTCTCGCCTTCTAATCAGCGCTGTGTGCGTCAAGAGCGCGCCGGGGGTACTGGGATCCCTCAAATTTTGAGCTGGGATGCTGGAGGGCGACTGCCACCAAGATGCTGATGGCTAGGTGGGTGGGAGGATCATTACGAGAGGACCATTCCTCCTCCCCATTCCACAGGTAGGCCCATGCCTTGGCGTCTTGGGTGCTGCTTCACTTATTTCTTGGGAGTTAGTGCCTTGAGAGAGGAATAATGCCACTGTCTCCCTGCCACACCCGATTCCACCTACTTAGGGTATCCAGGAGGTTTGAGAAGATCCTGGGAACCATCTTGCCCGGCAACTTTAGACTGCCCAAGAAGTATATAAATAAAGCACCAGGCCAAGACTGCTTTAGTAAAGTGAAGATGTAAGGAAGTGAGCCCATTATAAAAGATTTTCTTCTAGGAACTATTTAAACAAAGCAAAATTACAGTGTAGGGGCTAAAAGCGGGTACCCTAGAGCCAAACAGGGTTGGCCTCCTGGCCTTACTACTCACTACCTGTGTAACTTGGGTAAGTTACTTACCTCGGCTTGTTTCCTCATTTGTCAAATAGCACTTCCTTGTGGGTTTTATATGTAAAATGTTTAGGAAGCACTCTATAACTTAGCTATGGTCATTGTTGTTATTGTTGATATTATTATAAGAGGACTGGAACAGACAGCGGACATAATCTAATTACCCGCATTTTCTGGTTAGGCAAAGAGGGGGCCTTAGGCATTGGAGTTCACAGAGTAGAGGGTTGGATTCAGCCCCAACAGTGTTATAATGAGGTCCTTCTGGTATTAATTACACCTCCCCAGGGGGTAAGGAAGCGGTATTTTGTTTTCAGGAATTCTTGTTACCACAGCTTCTCAGAGATTTTCTTCCTTGTTTTCTTTTTCCATACCCATCCCAATTCTGTTTTCCTTCCCCTTTCCCCCATCAGGGTTGTTTTTGTTTTTTGCCCCTTTCCCTTTCTTCCTCACCACTTGCTGGCATCAGTCACCACCACCACCTCCAGTCTCTCCCACTCTCTGCCTTGCCTTGGCTTGGCCATCTGGGAGAAAATAATACCAGGCGAAAGATGGCCCAAGTTCACATCCAAACACTAGTGTGTGGGGACAAGTGTCTAGTGGCACCACCAATAGTTTTGAACACTCACCTATGAGGCCAAAGGGAGGGACCTTTACATTATTTATCTGCCTGAAGCCTTCAGATATTGCAAAGCAGGGCCCATCTGAAATCTTTCTGATCCTTTTATGGCCACTACATTGATGAAAGAAAATAACATTTATAGGTGTTAACCAGTAGTTTAAAAGTAAACACGGAGTTTTTTGTTTTTTTTTTTTAAAGAGAAAAGGGAAATACAGCATAAGTTGGTTGCGGCTTGGGGAAGAGGTTGATTTCCTTGAAGCAAATCATTTCCACTCTATAAAATTTTTGCACATAATTTTTTTTGACACCAGGTCCTTGGGGTTAATAAGTTATTCCGATTGTTTCTGTTTTCCTCCACTCAACGTTTTCCTGAGTACTTACTGTCTGTAAATGCCTTAAATTCTTTTCCCCCTGCCTGGATCTGCATTTTTTAGGGTTTTCTAGAACTCTCAACCTTTCTCCCTAGATATTCTGACACTTCCTACCTGGTACATAGTAGGTGTTCGATAAACATTTATGAAATGAATGGATGAGTTATTAGCATTCAGATGTTTTTAGTCACTGTATAACCTACATTGAACAATTATCTGAAGTATTCTGAGTCTCTTTCACATGGCATATCCAATGAGGAGCCAACATTGGGTTCATTTGTGTTGTGTAGTGTGGTCAATCTCGATTTCTCACTTGGCTGTCATGGACTGGCCAGCCAGAGGATAGACCCTGGGCAGTTGGGCCTCACCTCTGACTGACCTCGGCTACCCAGCATCAACCCCAAAGATGCTGGAACTGTATCCTGGTGGGTTACCTTGGCAACCTCACAATGTCATCTGTTAGAATGTCCTAGGGCGGCAGCTTTTAATTCTATCACAGCGGTCTCATCGGGGGTCATGTAATAGTGCTGTTTTTCCTCTGCTCACACTTCCTCCCCCTATGATTTAACACTAAGTACTCGGGAAGGGAGCCGAACACGGGCAAAACCAAGTTATTACAGCACGACAGGTCACAGATGGCCCCAGAACTGGGATCCCCAGCGTTCGCAGTCAATAAAATGCAGGCCCCAAGTTAATGGGGAAGCTGGTTCTCCTCTCACCCCCCGTGGAAAAGAGAGGAGTTAAGCCAGCCTAGGCAAGTGAAAGAAGCAGCCGTGGCCAGACTGTACAATTCTTGTAAAAGCTCAGTTAAAGGAGCCCCCCGCTGGAACAATTCTCTCTCTTGGTCTCAGCAGCATCGCCCCACTTGAGATGATTAAGGCCATGGGTACCAGTCACCGGAACAATTTTGCTGCATCCCAGCTACACTAAGGCTTGGAGGGAAGGAGAGTTCCAGTTAACCATCCATTCTGTTCTGCCCACCTTCTTTTCACCCCCAATCCCTGCCCTGCAATTTCACCACACTCGGCCCTGCCCTCCTAACTTAGATCAAAATAACTCAGTCTCCTGTTATTCTGTAAAGAGTATTATGCAGAAAATAGAGCCATCGAAAGCTTCGAAATCTGAAAAACTATTGTCTTAATTGTTTATTTTGAGGAACACGAAACCCATATCTTGTACATGGCAGCTGAACAGCATCATTTCAGGACTGACAGAAGAGATAAGTAAACTCATAGATGCCCCAGAGGTACAAGAATTATTCATCTTTATCATCATGGTTAATATTTTAAGTGGGTTTCCAGCCACAGTGAGATCACAATTTGGCCAGCTGCTCCATACTAAATGGCTGCAGGAAGCTGGCCCCATGTAGGGTGACACTCTTTGCTATAAAGAAGTGTGGTGGTAGAGGCCAGAGTTCTGTCCCCCAGAGCCAGTGGTTTGAGCAGAGCCCTCTGCCCTTTGTTCACTGTGACAGGCATAGCCCTCACAGACACACTTGCAAGACCATGGTGCCCCTGGTCACAGTGGAGCAGGGCACACTCGTTCTGGTATCCCAACATGTCCTATAACTCCCTCAGCAGTGTGGGAGTGTGAATTGGGGTGGCAGCAAGGAGTTAAGATATTTCATATGTATTCATTGATCCGCCAAGACCAGGGACTTTTGTCCAAAGTGTAGTCAAATTAATACTTTGCAAATGTCACCCACAGGCATCGCCAATTTGAGGAAATGCTAGATGATTGCCAAGTGTTCCATTTATCCCATTACCCACCAACCCCTGCCCCCGCCCCAAAAAAAATGTTATTCTGCTCCTGAATCTGCTCCTTGTTTTACCTCTGAATTCCCAGTCTGTCAAACAGGCAGTTCAGGGCAGCAGGGGCCCTCCTGTGGCTGAGATAGAATTTGCTCTGTGGAGCAAAGAGCCATGAGAGACTGAATTTCAGGAATACAGTGTGAAGCAAACTGCTATTGGCAGCCTTGTTTCTCTCACGCAGCCTGAGCATCCCTCTGGCTTTACCAAAAGCCATCCGCATCCGCACCCCTTCACTGGTTCTTTTATTCACGGAACATATTTATTTACTTGCATGTGTGAACAAACTATTACCACAGATAGGAGATATATGTGTGTATACACATATATATTCACATGTATATGAATATGTAAGAACCCTATATATCTCACAGATGTAAAAAAAAGGAGACTGTAGAAATAAATCATTAAATAAGTAGTAGGATAATATTTTGATACATAATTGATATGATTTCCCTTCCACCACCGCTTCCCGTACCCCCACTGTATTTCTTATTATACTGTACCAACCCTCTTCCCATCAATTTAGACAGCCAGAGAAGACGTAATTTGCCACATGGGAAAATTATCATGACAATACCAGAAAAAAAAGTCAAATTGTTGGCTTTTGGGTTTCAAAAATCAAGGTTCAAAGGTAAAATGAAAATGATAAGGAAAAGTATGAAATGAAGTAGAACCATTGTTCCCTATCATATCTCCTTTCCTTCCCCTGCCCACCCACTATCCCATATACACATACCTTCCAAGAATAGACCAAAGCTGCCAGACTGGAGCAAGGAGAACAAAGAGAGACGGTGGGGATACGTCAATAGGGAACAATAGGTAAGAATGACCAGAGTCAGAATTGAGAAACCCACCTCTCTCCACTCAGGTAAGAATCATCATCCATAACACTTGGGAACCCTGCAGACAAATGGATGACAACTCTTAGAATCTGTCTGAGAGGAGCACGATAGATCTTCAGTAGATGAAGGAAAAAAGCTATTCAACCTTCCCTCTAACATTTGGCAGTGAACTCCCCTCAACAGCAGCCAGAGCACAACCTATGGGTCATTCAAAAAGACTAACTCCTATTCCTTGAATTTAACCCTCATTTAATAGCCAAGGATGCTGGTAAACCCTTGAGATGAAGAGTAGGGCTCTGGAATCCTGAGGGACAGTGATAAGAACCAAGAGTATAACAGATGCTACCACCAATTTCCTATCAGGTCTGTACTTAGATGGGCCCGAAGGACTAGCTCAGGATTTCCCTTACAAGGCAGGGCTGTGGTGGTCAACAATGCTTTTACCCAAATATTTCTGATCTTCGCCTTCTAGTCCCAAGACAGAACTGCTCTTCTTGGCTCCTTGTAGTTGAGAGGGGCTGTATGACTAGTTCTGGGAGATGACTTGTGAGCAGAAG